GTATCAGGGATTTATACAACAAATAATCTAACATGTATATCAATGGAGTCCCAGAAGAAATAATAGCCGAAAACTTTCCAAACTGGTGAAAAGCAAAAACCTACGGACCCAAGAAGCTGAGTGAATCCCAAATAGGATAAACCAAAAGAAATATATACTGAGAAATATCACAAACTTCTGAAAACTAATGGTGAAGGGAAAAAATCTTAAAAACAGCCAGAGATAAGTGATACATTATTAAAAATCACCAATTTGAATGACTGAACCCATGAAGCAGACAGAAATGGCATAACATTTTTCAGTTCTTAAAGAAATGGTAAGCTTGAATCAGCTGAAACAGATATCAGGACTTTTTGTTTTCTTTTGTTTGTAGAAACAAACAAGTTTACTTTATTGTTTTTTTTGTTTGTTTTATCTTTTAAAATTTATTTTCATTGGAGTATAGTTAATTTACAATGTGTGCTAATTTCTACTGTACAGCAAAGTGAATCGGATACACACACACGCGCGCGCGCGCACACACACACACACACACACACTCTTTTTTAGATTCTTCTCCCATATAAGTCATTACAGAATACTGAGTAGAGTTCCCTGTGCTATATAGTGAGTTCTTATTAGTTACCTGTTTTATAATAGTAGTCAGTTAGTAAGTTCAGTCGCTCAGTCGTGTCCGGTTCTTTGTGACCCCATGGACTGCAGCACGCCAGGTTTCCCTGTCCATCACCAACTCCTGGAGCTTGCTTAAACTCATGTCCATCGAGTCAGTGATGCCATCCAGTCATCTCATCCTCTGTCGTCCCCTTCTCCTCCTGCCTTCAATCTTTCCCAGCATCAGGGTCTTTTCTAAGGAGTCAGTTCTTCGCATCAGGTGGCCTTGTCAATCCCGATCTCCCAATTTATCCCCCTTATCTCCGTGGTAACCATAAGTCTATTTTCTACACCTGTGACTCTATTTCTGTTTTGTAAATCAGCTTATTTTTAAATTTAAGAAAAGAGAAAAGCTCTAGAATGGCCAAAACAATTTTGAAATAGAAGTGCTTGAAATCACTTTTCCCAATCTTAAGTCTTACTATATTGCTAGGGTATTCAATGGGCTTCCCAGGTGGTGTGAGTGGTAAAGATCGCACCTGCCAATGCAGGACACAAAAGAAATGTAGGTTTGATCCCTGGGTTGGGAAGATTCCCCTGGAGGAGGGCATGGCAACTCAGTCCAATATTTTTGCCTGGAGAATCCCATGGACAGAGGAGCTTGGCGGACTACAGTCCAAAGGGTCACAAAGAGTGAGATTCGACTGAAGTGACTGAGCACGCACACGGTGTACTCAATTAAATGTAATACTAATAGGGGGATAGACATATAGATCAGTGCCATAGAACAGAGAACTCAGCAATAGATCCACACAAAAATACCCACCACATTTTTGATAAAAGGGCAAAAATAACTAAAGGAGAAGAGAGAGCTTTTTCACTAAGTGGTACTAGAGCTGTCCATAAGCATAAGATGGGCTTTGATTCTAAACCATGCATTTTATGTACAAATAAATCAAAATGAATCATGGGCCAAATCTTAGGGGAAAAAGCATAAGGGAAAACCTTTGGGTTCCAAGATTAGGCAGAAAGTTCCTAGACCTGACACCAAAAACACAATCCATAAAGGAAAAATTAAAAAGCTTTTCTCTCAAAAGATCCTCTTAAGTGGACAAAAAGACAAGTCATGCTGAAAGAAAGTGTTTGTAATGTTGCAAAGAATTTATATCTAGACTACATAGAGAACTATGATAATTCAACATAAAAAACAAAAATCCAATTAGATAGTGGGCAAAAGACATGAACAGACATTTTATCAACGAGCATATGCAGATGACAGATAAGCACATGATGCCCAACATCGTTAACCATTAGGGAAATGCAAATTAAAACTAAAGTGAGACAGCACTAAACACCTATCAGAATAGTTGATGCAAAAAATCACACCAAATACTAGCAAGGATGTGAAGAAACTGGTTCACCTATATATTTCTAGTGGCAATGTAGAATGGTACAACCACTTCAGAAGATAATTTGCTATTTCCTTTACAATTAAAAATTCACCCAACAATCATACAATTAGGCATTTATTCCAGAGAATTTAAAACTTATTTTCACACAGAAGCTTGTACAAAAATATTTATAACAGCTTTATTTGTAATTTCTCCAAAATAGAAACTATCCACTGTCCTTAATTAGCTGAAAGATTAAATAGGCTGTGGTGCATTTGTATTCTGGATTACTACTCAGCAGCAAAAAGGAATAAACTCGATAACTGCAACAACTTGGATGAACCTCGAGGAAATTATGCCGAGTTTAAAAAGTTATGGTTGAAAGTGTATATGCTACATGATTCCACTTATACAGCATTCATGAAATAGCATAATTACAGAGATGGAGAACAGATTAATGCTTCCCAGAGACAGGGGTAGAGAGAGGAGGAAGTAGCTATTGGGGTGTAGCATGAAGGGAGTCTTGTGATAACTATACACTTATGTGTAGGGATTGTGGCAGTGATTCCATGAAGCTACACTTGTAATAAAATTGCTTAGAGTGATACAAATACACACTCATGTATATACAGGTACATATATATGAGTGCAGTGAAATCTGAATATGCTCTGTAAATTGCAGAGATGTCAATTTCTTTGTCCTGGTATTTCACCCCAGTTCTACAACATGTTAACATTGGGAGACGCTGGGTAAAGGATGCATGTATGGAGATTCCCCATATATATATATATATATATTTTTTTTTTTTAAAAACACACTTTGTTGTTGATTTTCAGTTGCTAAGTTGTATTACTTTGTTATTAATATAATGGTTTTTATCTTTACCCTTTTTCATATTTAAGAGGCAGAAACATCTACCTGATGGCCATGACTATGGGGTAGAAGGGGAGAATGTTCTTTTTGACCCTCTCTTGCTTACAGAGATGGTTGCTGAGGAGGTTCCTCCTGAAGTTTGTACTGGTGGCAGAGGAAGAAACATCCTTTACGCCCTGTAATTTCTAAACTCCTGCTGTTTTTAAAATTTATTTTTAATTGGAGCATAAGTGCTTTACAATGTTGCATTGGCTTCTGCCATCCAACAGTGTGAACCAGCCGCGAGTATACGTATGTCCCTCCCTCTGGAGCCCTCCTCCCCACTCCCACCCCATCCCAGCCCATCCCAGCCCTCTAGGTTGTCACAGAGCACTGGGTTGCGCTGTCTGTGTCATTCAGAATCTTCCCACTGGCTTAGAGTGGAAAGCCACTCTGTTTTACACACGGTAATGCATATGTTTCAATGCTACTCTCTCAATTCATCCCACCTTCTCCTTACCCTGTTGTGTCCCCATACATTTTTTAGCACCTCCTGTGACTCTACAATTATTTCAAAATAAAAAATAAAGATTTTAAAAATTATTTTGTTTTTAGATGACAAAATAGAATAACTTCATCACCTCAAGGTAGGGAAGAATTTCTTAAACAAAATACAAAATTTACTACATACGAAAGACATTTCCTCATTTTTCAATCTTACTCAAACTTCTTGAAGCACTTTATATTATTCAATATTATTTATCTTGAAATCTAGCTTTGATTATTTTCTAGCTTGGCTTCTATGGAACTTAAACTTATCTAAATTTTCCTTTTACTTCTCAGAATTTATTCATTTTGTTAAATGACTATTGAACACCTATCATGCGCCAAGAATTGTTTTATGCTCATTCGGTTGTGTCCAACTCTTTGCCACCCCATGGACAGTAGCCTGCCAGGATCCTCTCTCCATGGAATTTTCCATGTAAGAACACTGGAGCAGGTTGCCATTTCCTCTTTAAGGGGATCTTCCTGACCCAGGGATGGAACCCACTTCTCTTGTATCTCTTGCATTGGCAAAAGAATTCTTTACCGCTGCATCACCTGGGAAGCAGGCTATAGTGGTGAACAAAAGAGGTTTTTCAAAAAGATAAGCTTCCTATCCTGATGGGGCTTACAGTTTAGTGCTAGCTGGTGGTTGAGAAGACAAAAAAGAAAAGTATAAATAAGTAAAATATAGTAGTATGTCAGTTGGTGATAAGTGTTATGGAAAAACTATAAATCATAAAAAGAGAATAAAGATGCTGGGGAGAGATGAAGTGTGCAGTTTTAAATAGGATGATTAGGAAGGTCCTCACGGAGGTGTCTTCTGAGCAGGGAATTAAAGGAGGTGAAGAATGTGCTGCGAAACTACCTGGGGGCAAGTGTTCAAAAAAGAGGTTTGAGCAGGAAGGTGTACGCTTGGCTCAAGGATGGGTAAAGAGGCCACGGAGTCCAGAACAGACTAAAGAAAAAAGTAACAGGAACTGAGGTCAGGGTGGTAATGACACCAGATCCCCATGGCCAGATCCCAGTGTAAGGCCTTTGCTGTTGCTCTACATCCGTGGCCTTGAAGCACAGTCCCCACCCAGCAGCATCACCATCTCCTGGGATGGTGTTAGAAATGCTCAACATCGCTAGTTATCAGAGAAATGCAAATCAATGCTACAATGAGATATCACCTCACACCAGCCAGAATGGCTATCATCAAACAAGTCTACAAATAATGAACACTACAGAGGTTGTGGAGAAAAAGGAACCCTGCTACACTGTAGGTAGGAATGTAAATTGGTGCAGCCACTATGGAGAAAGCTATGGAGGTTCCTTAAAAAACTAAAAATAGAGCTATCATATGAACCAGCAAGCCTACTCCTGGGCTTATATGGGGAGAAAACTTCTGAAGAGGTATGTGCAACCCAAGGTTCGTTGCAGAAATATTTACAACAGCCAAGATGTGGAAGCAACCTACATGTCCATTGGCAGAGGAGTGATAAAGACGATGTGACACATGCATACAATCGAATAGTATTCATAAAAAGAAGTAAATCATGCCGTTTGCAACAACACAGATGGGTCTAGAAATTATCATAATAAATTAGGTAAGGCAGACAAAGCCAAATATGATATCATTAAGATGTAGAATCTAAAAAACGGACACAGCTGGCGTGGAGGTTGCCATAGCCAGGCATCCCTGGGGAGGAGGCCGCAGCTCCTCCCTGGAGCTCAGGCCGAAGCCGCCTGCATTCCCGCCCATGAGTCGCCCGCAGGGCGCGGCCGCTCAGGGCCTCCAGGTGGGCGGGAGCGGGCAGGCCGAGTGTGTGAGGGCGGCAGGCCTCTGGGCGTCCCCAGCCCCGCGCCCGCCCAGCGTCCCAGGGGCCCCCATGCCGTTCACTTTCCTCTGGCTCCGGTCCAGAAGACGCCCGCTCGTCCTCGCCCGTTGGTGGCTTCCTGGGCCCCGGGGCCTGCCGGGCCTCCCTCCGCCAGTCTGGCCTGGGGAGGGTCCGCGGACACACCAGCGGCCTCATTGACGCCCCAGCTCAGTTCAGTTCAGCTCAGGGTCTGACTCTGCGGACCCCATGGACTGCAGCACGCCAGGCCTCCCTGTCCATCACCAACTCCCCGAGCTGACTCAAGCTTATGTCCATTGAGTCGGTGATGCCGTCCATCCATCTCATCCTCGGTCGTCCCCTTCTCCTGCCCTCAATGTTTCCCAGCATCAGGGTCTTTTCCAGTGAGTCAGTTCTTGGCATCAGGTGGCCAAAGTATCGGAGTTTGGTCTCCCCAGGGAGACTTTAACACCGCCCCCCCCACCTCGGGCAGGGGACCACCGCCCTGCAGTTGACACTGTGTGGTCAGAAATTTTTTTTTATTAAAAAAAAGTGATACAGATGAACTTATAAACAAAAAACAGAAATAGATGTATGGGTATAGAAAACAAACTTTCGATTGCCAAATGAGAAAGGGAGTGAAGGATAAACTGAGTTTGAGATCAATATATATATACTAGTATATATAACAATCAACAAGAACCCACTATATAGCACTGAGAACTATACTTAATATTTTGTAATAACCTATAAAGGAAAACAACCTGGAAAAGTATATATATATAATATAATATGGAGAAGGAAATGGGAACCCACTCCAGTATTCTTGCCTGGAAAATTCCATGGACAGAGGAGTCTGATGGGGTGTAGTCCGTGTGGTCGCAAAGAGTGGGACATGACTGAGCACACACATACACATAATATAATAATATAGATACAGACTATATTGAATAATATATAAATAATTGAATCTCTTTGCTGTACACTTAAAACTAACACATTATAAATCAATATACTTCAATTAAAAATATATATATTCCCAGGCTTTTCCCATTACCTGATAAATTAGAAAGTCTAGAAATGAGGCCAGCAATCTGTGTTGTAACAGCCTGTTGGCTGATTTCTTTCTTCTGAGCCCCCCCCATGGTGATTTTCTTTACACTTATTTTTTAAAATTAATTTTGATTGAAGTATACTTGGCTGACAGTGTTAGCTTCTGCTGTACAGCAAAGTGAATCAGTTATATATATAAATATATATTTATAAAAAAGTCAGTTATACATATACATATATACCTATATATCTATATCTATATCCACCCTTTTTTAGATTCTTTTCCCATATAGGTCATTACAGGGCATGGAGTAGAGTTCTCTATGTTATAAATAGCTTCTTATTATACATTTTTTATAGTGTATGTCAATTCTAATCTCCAGATTTATCTTTTCCCCCTTCCGCCTTGGTAACCATAAATTTGTTTTCTACATTTGTGATTCTATTTCTGTCTTGTAAATAAGTTTATTTATACCTTTTTTTCTAGATTCCACATATAAGAATGTCTTATGATATTTGTCTTTCTCTGTCTGACTTCACTCAGTATGACAGTCTCTAGGTCCATCCATGTCACTGGAAATGACCTTATTTCATTCTTTTTTTAAGGTTGAGTAATACACCATTGTATATATGTATCACATTTTCTTTATTCATTCATCCATTGATGGACATTTAGATTGCTTCCATGTCTTTACTATTGTAATAGTGCTTCCGGGAACAGTGGGGTGCATATATCTTTTCAAATTATGGTTTTCTTTGGATATATGCCTTGGAATGGGATTGCTGGATCATATGGTAGCTCTACTCTTAGTTTTTAAAGGAACCTCTATACTGTTCTCCAACCTAGATGACATATTAAAAATCGGATATTAAAAAACATTACTTTGCCAACAAAGGTCCATCTATAGGTCAAGGCTATGGTTTTTCCAGTAGTCATGTATGGATGTAAGAGTTGGACTCTAAAGAAAGCTGAGAGCTGAAGAATTGATGCTTTTGAACTGTGGTCTTAGAGAAGACTCTTGAGAGTCCCTTGGACTGCAAGGAGACCCAACCAGTCCATCCTAAAGGAAATCAGTCCTGTGCTGAAACTGCAATATTTTTGCCCCCTAATGTGAAGAAATGACTCATTTGAATAGACCCTGATGCTAGGAAAAATTGAAGTTGGGAGGAGAAGGGGATGACAGAGGCTGAGATGGTTGGATGGCATTACCCAATCAATGGACATGAGTCTGAGTAAGCTCTGGGAGTTGGTGATGGACAGGGAAGCCTGGTGTGCTGCAGTCCATGGGGTTGCAAAGAATCAGACACAACTGAGCAACTGAAGTGATTGATTGATAGTGTTCTCCATAGTGACTGTACCAATTTACATTCCCGCCAACACTGTAGGAGTGTCCCCTTTTCTCTATACCCTCTCCAGTGTTTATTGTTTGTAGTCTTTAATGATGGCCATTCTGACCAGTGTGAGGTGATACCTCACTGTAGTTTTAATTCATGCAGCTCAACATAAACAACAACAACAACAAACCAATAAAAAAAAATGGGCAGAAGATTTAAATAGAGATGTCACCAAAGAAGATATATGGATGTTGAAAAGGCGCTTGAAAAGATGCTCAACATCACTCATTATTAGAGGAGATGCAAAGCTTGATGGGTGATTCTGATGCACACTAGAGTTTGAGAAACACTGCTCTAAATCATATGGAAACCATCTGAGAGCCTTGAGCAGAAGACTGGGATGGTCTGATTTACCTTCTGGCTTCTATGTTGAAAATATTTCACAGGAGTGGACACAAGGCAGCCAGCAAGGAGACTACTGCAAAGATCTATGGGAGAGTTGATGGCGGCTTGTTCTAAAGTCATAGTGGTGAAGATGGAAAGGGGGTTATCATCACTGATTTTTCAATGATCGTTTTTCCATGAGTTTTTTTTTTTTAGTTTGGTTACAAGATTTCATATGTAATTTGCATAAGAAGGTGCTCAGATCCGTGTGTTCCTGGGCACCTTGCAGAGCTCTCTATCCCCTATATTCAACTCCTTTTAGGATATTTTAAAGGAAATATCACCAAGCCTTCATTTAGTGGAACTACTCTTCATGTTTTTGTATCTGCAGTACATGTGTTTACACTGATAAATTCACTTCTGGCCTTTATTAACCCCCATAGGACTGAGGTCCTGTCACACCTATGAATTAGGTTACTCTGTCTCCAAAACCCATTAAAAATATTTGACACCTGTGCTTGTATGTGCTCAGTCACTCAGTCATGTCTGACTCTTTGGGAACCCGTGGACTGTAGCCTGCCGGGCTCCTCTATTCATGGGATTTTCCAGGCAAGAATATTTGAGTGGGTTGCCATTTCCTCCTCCAGGGGATCTTCCCCACCCAGAGAATCAAACCCCCATCTCCCATGTCTCCTGCACTGCAGGTGGATTCTTTGCCACTGAGACATTGGGGAAACCCATTCTGTCACCTAATGTTCCCAAGAACTGATGTCTAGTCCAGGATGACAATTCTGTCATTTTGCAAGGGTTGGGGTTTATGTTCCCAAATGTTTTTGGGCTGGTTCTTGTGGGATCACTACAGCCAAGGAATCTGTAAGCCTCTAGTTGGTTCAGTTCTAAATGTTGACAGTGACAAATGATAAGAATGAGATGAATGTTTGTAAGAATTGCATGCATCTCTGAGTGTTTATTTATTTGATCTTTTAAAAATTAATCTTAGAATTTGGACTACATGTAATGCTAAACACATGTCACTGATTCCAAACTTAATACGGTGCATGGAAATGTTAATAGGAATTAGAAGTACTTCAGAGTCTGTCACGGGAACAGACTATTGACACAATCTGCTTATGCCTTCTGAAACCTATATTTAGTCACGGACAACTTTATGTAACTCTTGAGTTCAATGGCTAAAATCATTCTCGTGTCTAAGAAGAATGAGATTGTTAATTGTGTTTACAATGAAAGATGTGAATAAATAAACAGAGTATGTTAATATTTTATTATAACTGTTAGGATTTGCTAGAACAGCATTTACTACATTGAGTACAACTAGTAGATTTTATTTCTCATGCCAGGTCCTATTGATTGCTAATGACTGCTTGGAGCTTTGTGCGAAGAGCTCTGAGGCTGAGTCTGGTTACCTCAAGAAAGAGGGTCACGTTTGATATAAATTGTCTGCTGTTGGCGTGGGTCATGGGCAAGAGGGTGGGGGTGGCTTTAGAGCCTCATATTGCCTGACTCTTCCACAGAAGCAAAAACTGTCAATTGTATTTGGATAAATTCAACATTTCCCAGCCTGGATGGGAACTCCCAACTCCTCAACTCTCCACTTTGAATGTACTTATCTTTCTCATCTGTGCATTTTTCTCAAGAGCCCACTGCTCATCCAGCTGCTATTCTATCCAGCATGAAATCCTCTGTTTGGCTTTGAGGGTTCTTATGATCTCCTTCCACCCATCCTATCATCCTCCTAAGGTCCTTTATGCATAACCTTCTTTCTGGTTAGCCTGGCTTCCTTATTGTCACAAGTGGAAAAATATTGATAATTTTGTCTCTGAGCATTTGCTTAAACCTTCCATTTTAGTTTGAAATGTCCACTTTCCTCTCTATTTAATTTCTATCTGTCTCTCAAGATGTGTTATAAGTCCTTTGTAGACTGTGGAGTCTTCCCTCATTGCCCTGACCCCTCTCCCCTGACACTGCAGTTCTTGATCTAGTAGAAACCTGGGATAAGCTACAGAAACCATGATATCTTTCTTAAAGCAAAAAAATAAAAATAAAAAATAAAAAAAGATGAGTTACAGAGAATTGGGTAGCCTTGAAAAGTTTGGAGGAGCATGCTCTAGACTGTGCTTTTAGAAAGACTTGAAAAATATCAAGAGTTCATCCACTTGGGAAGCTGCTTCCTAGATCCAAGAGGAAAGGTTAGGGATTAGGAATAAAAACCCTAGAAAACTTGGTTTTAGGGACATACCATTTTAGGTAAAGTCCAGGAATCAGAGTATTGCCAGTATTGTAACTGTTGGCTTAAGAGCCACATCAGTCCTGCCAGAGTACACTGGGAAAAAGGATGCCTTATGCCCAACATTTTGGCATCTGAGAATCGAATGACTGGATGATGGAACACAGTGCACAAATGCCCT